GTGTGTACCACCCCCTCCCCCGCCGTTGGCTTCCCCGGGCTCCACTGTCTCCATGCGGCGCCCAGGAGTGGCTCGGCGGGTCTCCCCGCAATGATCTGAGAGAGATTCAGCGGCTTCCAGCCCCTAATCTATCCTCCGATCACTGGACCCGGAAGTGATGTGTATTGCATCACTTCCGGTGTCACTCACTACAGTCTCTTAGAGCCAGGAGATGAAGCTGGGGAAGCAGATCTCCGCTTACTCAGCTTCTGTGGGGTCCCTAGGAGAGCAGATCTGAAAGACCCTTAATGTCTCCATAAACAGGACCTGTCACACCCTATCTGCTACTACATAGGGTGCTTGTTAGCCCCCTATGTGATAGCAATAGGGTTAGTGTAAAAAAAAAATGCCCCCCCCCCCCAAACAAAAAAGTGTTCAAAAATAATGAAAGACATAAGAAAAATAAAAATTGCAAAAAATGTTTTTTTTTAAAGTCCCTGCCCCCCATGTGCACGCACATAAACACGCGTCAGTGCGCCTACATGCTAAAACGACAATTGAGCTACACATGTTACATATCGCCCCGGATGTCGGAGTGAGAGCAATAATTCTAGGGCCATCAATCACTGTTAACACTAAATTGATGAGCGGTATAAGCGTTTACAGTGTTCCCTAGGGAAAATTTTGAATATTTATTTTTTTGCGGCTTCACGGGCGAACGTAATTTTAAGGCTTGACATGTTTGTTATCTATTTACCCAAAGTGATCCCGTTTTTTACAATTTAACAAAACATTGGGTATTATAATGAGGTTTCTGCGCACTAAAATTTTATTTAGTTTATTTTTTCCTAAAAATACTGGTTGGATAAACATTTGCGCAAAAACCGTGCAACATAAAAAATTGCAACTAGCATTTTTTTATTCTACAAGGCCTCTGCTTTCAGAACATATATCATTGTTTGGGGGGTTTGTGTAATATCTAAATTGCCTTGGCTTCCTGAAATAAGCTAACTTGCTATTCTCTGCTTCCAATAATGATAACGATACAATGGTTAAAAGAAGCAATGGTCTTATTTATTTATACACAAATCTAACTAATCATAATAAAAGATACAAACAGATACAAAAGTACAATAAGACAATCAAGAGAATACTTCACACAGCAGGTCCTTCCTCTGGTTCCTATATCCTGGCTGGGCTCAAAGAGAAAGCAATATCGCTGCACACAGACTTTTATAGTAAACCGGACCCATTCATACACATACATCAACACCCCTTTACCCAGAATTCCGCATGTCCCTTATATGTCTTTCGGCCAATCGGCATCATCCTTCATATTTGTCCACATGCACTGTAGTCCTCCAGCAGGGGGCACCATCGTACTGCAGATCATTCCTTGGCCTAGGTCAACACCTTGTCCTTTGATCTTTAGACAATGGACAGTCACCTTTATATGCAAATCCGGATATCTTGATGGTGTCTTCCCAATGCGCATACACCCCTATCAACACCACAGCGTGCAAAGCTTGATGTCCTGTCCAGATGAAGGAATATCACATTTATCATCTCCCTTGCCATGCCACCTGCAGGCATGAGTAACACACAGTTGGTTTCTTTGATGAGCAATGCAATCTCTGAGTCAAGATTTGAAGATAGCTGTTCGGCAGCTTTCGTACATGAAAATGTTGTACATTCCAACAGTTTGAAGCGGTTTTCTGGTCAAAAATGTATATTTTATCATGTGTGTGCAAATAGTAAGAAAATGCCCCAGACAGCAAGTGGTTAAAGTAAAATTAAAGTCACAAGTCCCCTCCCCCTATGCTGCTTTAAGGCCTTACCTTAAATGATGCCTCTCGATCGGATCATCTTCTTTCCAGTATCTTTCAGGAGTCCTTCCAGCGCTGGTGCCGGTCTCTGATCAAGCGCTGACTGCTGTATCTGGTGTCTCACAGTGCCTGTGCGACGTGCGCGCTCAGAGCTGCGTACATTCACCTTCACAGTGTCTCTCCTTTCTCCCCGCCAAAAATCTCTACTGCACATGCGCCAGCCCCATCATCCTGCGTGGCCGCTCGAGAATCTTTCAATCTTCAGACAGGAGCGAGCCTCAAGTCTTTTTGGGTATGACGCAACAAGCTTTGCACACCTGGATTGGATGATTTTCTGCCATTCTTCTTTGTAAAGCCTCTCATGATCAGTCAGGTTGGATGGGGACCGTCATTGGACAGACATTTTCAGATCTCTCCAGAGATGTTCAAAAGGGTTCAAGTCAGGGTTCTGGCTAGGCCAAACTAGGACATTCACAGAGTTGTCCCTAAGCCACTCCCGTGTTGTCTTGGTTGTATAATTAGGATGGTATTGGGCAGGTGATGAGCGGTGCCTGGTTTCTGCCAGACATAACGTTTAGAATTGAGGCCAAACAGTTCAATCTTGGTTCCACCAGACCAGATAATCTTGTTCCTCACAGTCCAAGTCCTTCAGGTGCTTTTTTGCAAACTTCAAGCAGACTTTCATGTGTTTTGCACTGAGGAGAGGCTATCATATAATGGTTGTCCTTCTGGAACTTTGTCCCATCTCCACACAGGATCTCTGGAGCTCAGAGTGGCCATCGGATTCTTGGTCACCTCTCTTACTAAGTCATTCTTATCATCTTCCATTTGAGAATTATGGAGGCCACTGTGCTCTTGGGAACCTTCAGTGCGGCAGAATTTTTTTTGTAGCCTTCCCAAAATCTGTGCCTTGCAATATTCCGGTCTCTGAGCTCTGCAGGCAGTTCTTTGACCTCATGGTTTTTGCTCTGATACAGTATGCATTGTCAGCTGTGAGGCCTTCTATAGAGAGGCGTGCGTCTTTCCAAATCATGTCCCATCAATTTAAATTTACTACAGGTGGACTCCGATCAAGGTGTAGACACATCTCAGCAACCTTCAAGAGAAAAGGGAGTCACCTGAGCTAAATTTCAAGTGTTGTTGTAAAGAGACTAGGGTCTGAATACTTATGCCAATGTGATATTTCAGTTTTTCCTTTTTCATACATTTGCAAACATTTCTAAAATTCTGTTTTCACTTTATCAATATGGGGTACTGAGCGAAGATTAATGAATGAGGGGGAAAAAAAAGAATTTAAACAACTTTAGCTGTAGGCTGCAACATAACACACATGAACAAAATGAAGGGGCTCTGAATAATTGCCATATGCAGCGTATACATGCATGTTAAGCTGTTCAGCAGCAGGCGTTAAGACAAGACCATAAAACACTGCCAGGGGTGCGTACAAACATTAGGTTTTATTCATTTGGTTTAAGCCTTTTACTGCCACCGACATAAAGGTTATGGCTAGTTCAGCACCCCTTACATCGGCTGCATTTTTACAGGCTGTAAGTCTATATGCATTTCAGTGAACAAATATGGTAACATCATATGGTAACATCAGTGAACATCACAGCCATATGGTACCCAAGTTTTCCAGTAATTATGAACAAATTCATAAAGTTTTTTATGCTCCCCCACTGCTCATCAGCCACTGCCTGTTAACATTCCCGATGATAAAACTATATCGCTCTCTTCTTGCTGACCTTATTGGCAGCTTCTTTTTTTTTTCCTCAGGATGGAGAGCAGGGAGATTGGTGAACAAGACTTTCATGTTTACCAAACCCGTGTAGAGCGAAACTGAATTGGAAGTGTTTAGTCATGATTTAAAAAAAACTAAAACTAAAATTAGAAAAATACACAGACAGTCCGACCCTCTGTGTACACACACATTTTAGGCTTGATACACAATTTTTGTGCTGTGCAGTAGTGTGTTAATGCACATGTATTAGGCACATTGCATCACTGAAACCCATTCATTTTGACAAACATGCGGGAACATATAACATCATCCGATATGACAGTAATCTGGTCTAGGGGGCAAACCACTAGGGGGTGATCCTAGACTCTGAAACCACTTTCTCCATTTTTCAATGGATTTTGCTAATGTGGTAAGAAACAGGCCTGTCTTTTCTATGAAACTGCCACTCAGATTTTATCTTTTGAATAGAGCAAGCAATCTAAACAACTATTAAAGGCAAGATCTTCCATGTTGCTCTAGTTTCCGTTGCTCTTTTTTTGTTGTAAATAAGCTCCAATGTGTTTTCTCCATGCACTGATAAGCTCCAATGTTTTTGCTCCAATAAATGAAAATTCTAAAAAGGTATTTTTATATGCATATTTTGTTAGCCCAAATTCTGGAGTCTGACTGGACACAAGACAGGCAGATATCTTCCAGAAAACAAGTGAAAGGACAAGTAGATCCTCACCTGATGTTGACACATGCGCATAGAACCTACTACAGATCTTTCATTCTTTTCCGTAAAAGAGTATACAGTGAGGAAAATTATTACTTGATCCACTGCAGATTTTGTAAGTTTGCCCACTTACAAACAAATTAAAGGTCTATCATTTCACCAGCTGAGGGGGGCGCACACCTTTTTAGTGACATACAAGCGATCGGCCGACTGTGGAGCTGGCTGAAAGCTTGTTTGTAACAATTGGTACCGGCTATCTACATTCCCAGCGGGTTTCTGCTCGGGGGCGCATGCGAGCAGAAACTAAAAAAATTACGTACAGGCACGTCCACCCACTAGGAAGATTCCGCCCGTGTATTCACAATAGGCGGACGCCAAGTGGTTTATAAACTTCCACGCTACTTGACTTGCTTGCCAGCAGCACTCTCTAACACACACAATGTGTATTAAAAGGGTAAGTTCACTTTCCCAAGTAATTTGGGAAAATGGAATTAACATGCTATACTTACCTTTTGGTGAACGGTCCATCCCCTCCACCAGTAAGGTTGTACTATCTGTACCCCATACTGACATCATGCACAGCCCTGCGCTATAGATTTTGAATTTCGCTCACAAATTGCGAGCAGTCGTTGGTCAGAGCATCTTAGCATGATTAAATATGGTTTTGGTTAAAATTATTTTTTTGTATCACGACAAGTAGATTGACATGAGGGACAAGTAGACTAGTCCCCCACTTTAGTCCTTGGACAAGCAGTTTTTTTTAAAAGGAATTTGCACACCCTGGCACCCTCTTATAATTAGGGATGTGGCTGTGTTCAGAATTAATCAATTGCATTCAAACTGATGTTAAATAGTAGTCAGTAAACACCTGCCATCTATTAAAGGGACTCTGATTAAACCCATATAAAGTTCAGTTGCTCTAGTAGGATTTTTTCTGGCATATACTCAGTTGCCTCTTACAGCAAAGGCATGCAAAGAGCTTACAAAGCGTCAAAGGGATTCTACTGTGGAAAGGTATCAGTCAGGAGCAAGGTACAAAAACATTTCCAAGGCATTAGATATTCCATGGAACACAGTGAAAACGGTCATCAACAGGTGGAGAAAAGTATCATTACCAAGAACTGGACGTTCCTCCAAAATATATGAAAAAACAAAGAAAACTGGTCCGGAAGACTTCAAGAGTCCTAAAGCAACATTACAGGAGCTACAGGAATTTCTAGCAAGTACTGGTTGTGTACTACATGTGACAACAATATCCCATATTTTTCATATGTCTGGGGTAGAGTGCAAGACGGAAGCCTTTTCTTACTAAGAAAAACATCCAAGCCCGGCTACATTTTGAAAAACCGACATCAAGTCTGGGAAAATGTGTGATGGTCTGATGAGACCAAGACTGAATTTTTTAGCCATAATTCCAAAAACGATGTTTAGTGCAAAAACAACACTATTGAAAAATCAGCTGCAAGTCTGAGGCTGGCCATACATTGTTTCAGTTGATTCAAAGGAATTGGTTGAAATTCTTACAATGGGTGGCATTGCCGGATTAACAAACATTGATTACTCAACATTTTTTGAAGAAGCTGGGAGCTAAAATAATTGGCTGAACAGTGGCTGTAGCCAAATCAGCTTCAATCACTATTCATGTATTCAGACACCACCACATACAGTTATTTTCTGTACTTGCTGAAAATGTTTTTAGTCTGGAAACCACCACGTGTAAGCTGTTCAGCTATCCTTTAAAAATCCTTTTCATTTGTGAAGCATACTGTGTCCAACTGAGAATATCCCAGTGGATATCTTTTGGTATTACATACAAACCCCCTTGTGTGCAATTCTGAGGTCCAGATGTATCTTCTTTTATAAAGCCAATGAAGTAGGTACATAACCTAATACCCACAAAATAAACATTTAGACAGATAAAAACTAAATGTGATAAGGTATATTTTATACTCACAGCACGGAATTACTATATTAAAACTACAAAACATTTTAAAACAATTATATTTAGGAACTTGGGTTCTGAATAAAACATAGGTTCTAATCGAAGAGACTGTAACCTGTTGGTCAACTGAAAATGGTGAGCACAATACATTTTTGGGACCAACAAAATGCTAAAGATGAGAATAGATCGGTTCTAGAAATAATATTGATCATATTTGTTCTACTGAGAAAGATATTGGGCTGGTACCAAATTACATGATTACACATGACTTGTGCGTTATTTTGACATTTACATGTAAATAATTGCAAATATAAACTTCACATACCAAAGAGTAAACTGATAAATTAGGAATAAATAATATAAACAAATATAAATATATATATATATATATATATATACACACACATATACAAAAAGATGAATATTAATTGTATTACAGTTATTTCTGATGCCATTAATTCTCATTCCGTTAATGTATTATGTGTAAAATACAAAGATCTTTAAAGTAATACTATGAAGTAAACTGTTAACTGTTTAAACAAGTGGCTTATTTAATCTGTTGATCTCAGCAGGGAAGGCAGTATGGCTCAGCGAGATATTTGTTTGGAGCATGTAAAGCTGTTACAGCATTGTGCACACAGTGTGGGGTATGATACCTTCCAGTTTGTCCTCAGCAGGCTCTCCTGAGTGCGCCTCTCTTTTAGAGCTTCCTTCCAAGATGTACACGCGGTAACTTTACTGTCCGTCAGGAACCCTTCCATTTGGCAAACATGGTACCACAAGATCTCATCTTCGGCAAGTACCTTCCACGCTTTGCTTACCTAATACATTGAGATAAAACATGATGAGGTAATGAAGAAAAAAAACTGTTGACTTATTCTGATTGCATAGCAGAGCCAAATAAAGCAAATATTAGGAGCCGATTTGCGTTCCAAAGAGTGTTCATCCGTCTTTCTAGTCCATGAAACAAAGAGATTAAGTCACTTAGTTCAGAGCCCACAAAGCTGGTATTGAATACAAGTCAGAAATGGATTCCAAACACCCTCTGGAGATCGCTGTACAATATGTGCCATCTTAAAGGCACTTGAACATTAAATGTTATTCATAGAACAAGGGATTCGATATGCCTCACAAAGATTTAGGATATCTGTCCATGCAAGCTATAAGCAAAAGTAGAACAAGTGAATGCCTCTGCAATGCCTATCATCTGTTTCTGGAGTTTTCCATATTTAAAGCATGTCTCGCTACAAATGTGAAGTATTTAACCCTATACATCTATGCACATTTTAGACCTAATCCATGAACTAGATTTTTTCCACTTGCAGTGCCAAAAGATATCAACTAGGAAATCTAATGGTGGTGATTAGGTAATAACCATGTGTATCACGCTACTCACTTAATTTTGGCCTGATACTGTAAAGCCCGTGACTCAGAGGCACATGGCTATTGGCTAATGCTACCATAGTAAACATGTGAAGGGTGATTGAGTAAGGTACTTGTAGAAGGGTGAAGGGAGAGCTTCATCCCCTGCACTACAGCATTCCAGTGTCACAGCTCACCACCATTATCTAAGAAACCAATTTTTACCAATGATGTAAATAGGGTCTAGACTTGGCTTTGACTTTCTTGTGTGGATTACACTCCATATTAGTGATTTAGTGTCACTGATCATTCTGGATTTACAGAGGGCACAATCTACCGGGGCTCTATTTACAGGTCTCACAAGCTTCTTTTATGAGATCTGCACTACCGCTTGGCCAGATGAACCTGCTATCGCAGGGGCAGGCAACCTCGGCATTCCAGCTGTTGTAGAACTACGAGTCCTATGAGGCAATGCAAGACTAAAAGCCACAGGCATGACTCCCAGAGGCAAAGGTTTGATGGGATATGTAGTTCCACCACCGCCGAGGTTGCTCACACTCCTGTAGGAATAGAATGGAACTATATTCAGCAGTAATGACACAGTTCTACATCACAGACCTCAGGTTTGTTGGTTAGCATTATGTTATGAAACACACAACAGTGTAACTTTGCCTCCTTGGTGTTCATTTTCTGCTTTCTGTTTAATAAAGGCTAAGTTTCTGCTACCCATAATTTTTATGGATTTTCAATCAAGGCAATAAAGCACTAAAGGGAACAGACACAGTAACCATTACATAATGTTTCCGAGAAGCTGAAAGAAATCAGTTTGGGCATAGCAGTTAACCAGCAAAAATCCTGATGTATGTTGGTTATAACTTAATGCACAAGATTTGGCAGGGGGCTACCCAGTAAGAGCCCTAGTGAGCAAGGCTCAGCTGTAAGAAGCCTCTAATAAAACCCTTTCCAGCATTTCAGTTCATGGCACCATAGAGATTTAGCGTGTATACTGTATAAAGAAGCCACTGGCATGCTGTCAGCTTTATCAGCTTTCTGAGACACTTCAGGTTCATATGAGGCTTTAAAAAAAAAAAAAAAAAAACAGACGCCATTAAAAGAAGCAAAAATGATTTCATCTAGAAATCCTACACAAGCAAGTAGTATGGGGGGAATTTATCAAAGTACTTGCAACAGTTTTCAAGATCTTTTTCTGCGCAACTCCTGCTTCCGCTTTTTTTTTTTTTACAGTTGCGTGTCTTTTTAATGCTCCCTGCTCTTGTTTCTAACCCAGTAGTATCTGCGCCTGTTTACCGACAATTCGCAAATGCTAAAATGTGCGATTGTTTTGCGCTGTCAGTAAACAGCCGCAGATACAGTTAAACCCCTCGCAAATTAAGACGTGCCTAAGATCACTTCTTAATGCAGCCCTAATAAATGTAGCTCCGCTTTAACTAACCATACTCTGCTCCTGCCGCTGTATATTTCACTCTAATCTGGATCCTGCCCGCTCACAAGTTACGCCCTCCATCCCGGTCTCTAGCCCCCTTCCGGTCTATTTTTCTGCCTCTCTGCGTCTCCCCCCGCTGGTGCTGGCTACTGCGGTCTGTGTCCCTTTCAATCCCCACGGGTACACATACCACTGGAGCAGGCACCAGCAGGGAGAATAGATTGAAAACCGACTTTTCCGGCCGTTCCTCTTGTACCTTAGTTTTGTGTCCAGTAATGTTGTTCCTCCGCTGCTGCCACCTCTGTCCAGTTTGCCCGTGCTCATGTAGCCTCTTCCATCCTGTAGTTCATCTTCCCCGCACTGAGTGTGGCCTCTGCCACCCCCTTCCCGCCTGCCTTTGCCCCCCTGACCCCAGTAATGTTGTTCCTCCGCTGCTGCCACCTCTGTCCAGTTTGCCCGTGCTCATGTAGCCTCTTCCATCCTGTAGTTCATCTTCCCCGCACTGAGTGTGGCCTCTGCCACCCCCTTTCCGCCTGCCTTTGCCCCGGCCCCGTGACCCAGCAGCCGCATGTCCCTCTTCGGGAGCTTGCGGCTTGTAGTTACCCCCCGCCTGCTATTGGATATTTTAAATTGCAATATGCAATAGCAGGCTTTCAATTTGAGCCCGCCCACTGCCTGCTGTCAATCAGGAAATAGTGGACCTGATGGAGAACTTCATCCCTCAGGTCCCTCCTCTGTAGGCAGTGGGCGTGTTCAATTGGCAGCCTACTATTGGATATGTAATTTCAAACTATCCAATAGCAGGCTGTAGAGTGCGTTCTTCAATACAATTCTGCTATAAGCTCATGGTCGCTTTAGCTGTCCCCTTTCAAATAATAGCTGTCATCAGCGGCTCACAAGCCGCTGATGACAGTTATTAACTAAAATTCCAGGCGGCCCCCCCTCTCCGCCGGCACCGTGGCCGATGGCCGCCAGGCATATTCGGCTTCTGTGTCAGTTGTGAACTGATGTTATTACATTTCGGAACTGTTATTAAGTATCACTACACAACTGACACAGAATATCTTTTTGCTTGTTACATTGTAGTTCATCCTCTTAGAATTGTTTTTCACAGGCTATAATTGCCAAGTTCAATTCTTTCACTGATCATTTTTGACACTTTTTAGTTATATTCATCACAAAGTTGTGAATCTGGACACATATTACATGTGTTTTATTTATTGACAATTATATATCCATTTCACCAATTTATATATATGTATTACTTATTAGGATTATTGTCTTTGCTCACTTTCAACGCTAGACCACTACTTTCTATTTAATTTTATTTATATAATTATTTTTTTTGTAGTTCACCTTTAGCGCTGTGTGACTTTTTTATTCGATTTTTAACGCATCTCCCCCTTTTTTTCATAGCAGCTTTAGGGTTAATTGCTTGTAGCTGGTTCAGTAGAACTGAAGGCCTGCTGTACGGGCTATTCACTATTACCAGGTAACCAGGGATGCTGATCTACAGACAGGCCCACTCTCCCGGACGCTCCCCGTATTAGATAGCGGCTCCTGGCCGGCCGGGAGATAAACACTTTCTCCCGTTAAGTTATTTTCTGACTAAATCTAAAAGATAAAACTGTATTGAGTTAATAAATAACAAATATTTGCAAATTTGAAGTTCCCTTTTTGGGAAAGGGTAAATAAATGAAGGAACGCAAAACTGTAAATAAGCGATTTGTTATAAATGGTTTTTGCGCTGCGTTGGGGTTTGTGTTGTAAAAAAATGTATAACAACGCACCGCAGCGCATGTGCATGGTGTGCACCACAATATGGTGCATGGGTATGTTTTGTGTGTGGGGGAGGGTTTTTTTTTTGCTCTACTTGTTTGTTTGTTTTCTAATTTTTTATTTTATTTTTTACATAATTTTTTTTCTTCATATTATATATGTTTTTTTTTATTTCAATATGTTTTTTATTGATTTTTCGTAACGGTACAAA